TCTCAACTGTACAACTGTTTTGTATAAAAGTATAAAAATGAAACAGACAGTCTGCTGAACAACGCACATTATATCAATAATCAGATGATGAGATCAAGGGCAGATGTAATAAAGCCAACCAGCTTATTGGACAAATGGCACCAATACTGAGAAATAAACATGAATCAGTAGATACAAAAAGCAGCCTAACACAATCACCTTACCAACCCCTATGCTACCAATGTCAGTGTTTTATGTCTCATGGGAACAATCAGTAAAGGTACACTGGGGTGGCTGCTGCATCGGATGACTCGCACACATGGGAATGCCCAATGTGTAGTGACGTCAATGGAGATAACATAACACACAATGCTAATCTCAAACCTGGACAATAACAAAATAAGTTAATAGACAAATTACAACAACTGAGATGAGTTTCCTGAGGACAGCAGTCAATATGATGAGGAAAAAAAATGACATTATGAAATCTGAAGGAAAGTGGGGGTAGTAGAGGCAATAGATTTTATTAGAAAACAACAAGGGATATGGTTTCAACATACTAACTGATTGCCTATAGACAGCATGCTACAGTAACCAATGGCAAACAGTCCAAGTGGTAAACAAAAGAGATTGTTTAAATAATAAATGAAGGCAATAAGAGAGCACCTGTAAAACCTCATTTGTTTAAAAAAAAAAAAATTAAAAAAGACTTTTACACTCTTTTGTACCTCAGCACATACGGGTGGTGTGATCTACATAATGCCAGCCATTTTTAACTTCCCAGGGCATTATCTGGTACCTATTTTAGGCTAGATTGTCCTAGAAGCGAAGGTCAGTTTTGACAAAACAAATCAGCTATGATACAAATTTAAATAACTCAGGGCTCATGCTGAAAACTATCCATAGGCCGGAGCCCCGGCACAGAAAGATTATTAATACAATACAATTGGCAATGATCTGCAGGTCACTTGCTGGGCCTCTAAAGGCCAGATTTAGCCCGCGAGCCATCAGTTGAATAGTCCTCCCCGGGCCCTCATGCCAGCAGATGAACATCTAGCTGCTGCGCTCTGATGCCTCCCAATTCCCTGTACTGGAAGCAAACAAATGGGCCTTCTCCCACCATTAATGGGTCAAGATAAGATATGTACAGAAAGATAATAATTGATGCTGACAAAATAAAGCCACAGATGCGGACCCATCAAAAGCACCTGTAGTGACAAGTATTATCTCCTAATGCCTGTGGCCACAAAAGAGTGGAAGTATGAAAGTTTGAAGCTTCAGACTGACCGGGCTGCTGCCTCAAGGCTTGACCACTCTGTGACTTGAATAGTTTCAGCCTGGATGGCAATCCAGCAGGGCAAACCTATCTAACTTTTTCTCTTTTTATACAAAAACCACAACATATCATGTCTACACATAAACATCATTAGGCATATGTATTATATCTACATGCATATAAATATGTATAAAACTGTCTAAAAACAAAATTACACATACCTATAAACAACTCTTTCACCTCAAACTAAATGGGTCATGAACCCATGGAAATTCCCAGGGAAAAAATGCTTTAAAAAAACAACTATATTACATAGGTTACTAATCAAATTTTTTTTTAATGTATCTTTCTACAGCCCCCCCCCCCCCCCCCCCCCACCCCCCCCCCCCCCCCCCACCCACCCCCCCCCCCATATATATATACATAAAGGTAAACAATGGTAATAATAAACACTAACAGGGTAAAGCATAAATCTGAAAAACATTCACAGGGGTCTAAAAAAGTTTTTTTTAAATAAAACATTACGTTTCGGGTGACTCATGCTATGACCTCTACTACTGAGGCATACATGAAAATCTGACATCAACTTGACTTTACTATATTTATATCTTCACCCAATGAACACAGCGCAGGCACAATAAAACCAACAAGATTTAACTATGCATTTCAAGGACAGGTCATTTCAGCAATGGCCGACAAGGTTAAATCAACAGCAAAAAATCCAATTCACATATAACTGAAAGTGACAGGTCTTGCTTCCATGTCTTGAAATGAACTGGGCATATGGTGCTAATCCTAAATGGGACTAACCTAAATGCACACTTACATTATACTCACATAATTATTATATAAAAACACTTAATATTAAATTTACCAAGGTGTCTTAAATGAAATCAAGAGTCTTGAAAACAAACACTGTAATATGTATGGGGTGATTTCAACTGCCTGACAGCCTTTAAAATGGTTACTAGCCTCCTGATATAAGTTTTCTAGCAGAAGGATCGAAAAAAAGAAGAACAAGAACAAGAAGGAGGAAGAAGAAGAAGAGAAGAAAAAAGGAAAAAAAAAGAAGAAAAGGGAAGAAGAAGATAAAGAAGCCTCCATTTTTCACTTTCAATCAGAATATGCCATTATCTTTAGTCATTAAAAAAAATTTATAATAATTTGCTCAGGGATTTCACTGTACAGAATGACAGATATTTCATGATCAGGAACAGCAACAACAACAAATATACATGGACATTTAAAATAAATGAAATACATGTATATAAAATCAACACTTGTGGCATGAGATGCCTGAGTAGTACCTAATGTAACAATTCAAGACAGAATGAGAAAAGTCACAAAATCAGGCATTGTGGGAACAACATGGTACTCAAGTACATTGAAAACCCCCTCCGTCCTCTCTCTGATCATGCATTTTTGTTTTAACAGTATACATCAAGAGAAAATAGGGCAATGGTTTGGACATGTGTCAAGACTTCCACCAGACAGGGCATCATAGAGAGCCCTTGTCACTGAGGGATAATGGAAGCCAACCTAGAGGTCGACCAAGCAAGCAATGGATAGATGGAATATCCGAGGCCATAAATGCCAGCATACACTGGGCACATAGCAAGGCTCACAACCGATGCCTCCTCAAAACGGGAAACTGAAAGGCAGAACAGGATTAGAGAGGAGTAGAAGAAGAAGGACATTGAGAAACAGAAGATCACAAGTTTTGGCATCTTAGTCAATTTCAGCACAACTGTTTGCAACACAGATGTCACATATAAGTAGATCTTATTCTAGAGCAAACAAAAGGGGAAAGAAAGAGGGGGCAAAGGTGGACAGGAAAAAGTAGCCATTGTCACTCCCTGAGCTATGGACCACCAGCTATTGCTTACCACAAAACTATAAAATGATGATGAATTACAACACACATACATACACTTAACACAATCTATATAAATAAAAATGTAAATGTTCATTTGTGGCTAATCGATAATCTCTTAAAGTTCTTCATCGACTGCTTTAATTTTTTTTACACAATGTTTCATTCAAATACACGGTTTTTTTTTTTTTTTTTTGAAGTATAAGAGTGTCGCACATAGCATGAACTACATAGCTCCAGCGACAATCACACCAGCATTTTGGTTGTTTTCCGACGATCCCATTTTTTTCCCCTTTGCCTTCTTCCCGGCGCGGGTTTTTAATTTCCGCTGGTAGGTGAACTTTTACGGTTGACCTCAAAAATCTGCATGAAGCTGTCATTATAGGGGCAAAGAGTTGTTGAAAGATGTATGGAAATGTAAAGGCGAGGGAATAAAAACAATTTGGAGTTAAAAGTTGTGGGAATAAAAACAGAGTTGTTTAAAGACTGTATGGGAATGAAAAGATATGGGAATGAAAGATTAGTGATGAGTGAGGACTATCATCACAACACTCTGGACAGATCCAGAGGTTCGCAGATCTTTTCCTTGATAGCTCCACTAGTGCAAAAACTACTAATGGCGCCCGTTCTATGTGATTAATCAGAGGACTCTTGCCCTTGGTGAAATATGATTGTCTGGGTACTCCGACTGCACTCCCAGATCCACCACCCTCGACATGATCTTCTTCGCGATAACTACTGTCCATGTCAGTGAAGTTCACAGTAACTGCCTTGCCCGCAAGAATAATTTTCTCATAGCAGCAGCAGTGGTTGTAGTAGCAGAATAGCAAGTAGCAATTGTTGTGGCTGGCCGGGTGGTTACAATGTCAAGCTGTCATGCGGGAGACCCGGGTTTGACCTCCGGTAAGGTGATGGAGTTTTCTGTCAGGGGGAAAATTAAACAACCTAAGCTGAACCAGGTGAAGACAGAAATTGTTAACTGAGAGAGCTTAAAACATGATTTTAAAGTCCTCATATAAAAAAAAATTATTTGTATTTTAATAACGCTATTTCAGCTATTCTAGTTTTTTTTTGTATAACCAGATTAATCCCCAGCAATGCGTGGCGGGGTACAGCTAGTCTGTAAAAAAGATATCTGTTAACTCTCTCACCCGGAAACACTTAGAAAAATGGTTCATGGAATTCTAGAAAGAATCCTTGAAAAAAAAAAAAAACAAATTTGTCCGAGTCATTATTAAATTTGTGAAAAAAAAAAAAAAAAAAATTATCTAAAAAAAAATAAAAAAATTGGGTGGGGGGGGGGGGGGGGGGGGGGGGGGGGGGGGGGGGGGGTGGGGTGGGAAATATATACAGATAAATGAAGGGAGTAATTAATAAACATGAACAAGGTGAAGCACTAAATGGAATACATTCACCAGGGCACTAAAAAAACATGTATCAGGTGACCCATGACATAAACTCATGACCTTTATCACTGAGGCTTACTGGAAAATTGTATGCCAACTTTGCTTTAAAAACAATATTTGGCATGAAAACCCATCTAAATGCTACTTTTAGTTTATGTATTTATATCATGATGAAATGTTTGCGCAGGCTTGACAACAGCCAATAGCATTAACTAAGCATCTTATAAACCTGTCACTATAGACAAGTAAGAAAGGTGACATTAATGGGGAATTTGACCAAACCAGAAGTGTTAAGTTTTGTGGCTTCTCAGGGTGAAAGGGTTGAGCCGAGCACTTCTACAACCCCTCTAGGACTGGACCACAAACTATTTTCCTGTGAAGCCCAAAGACAAAAGTGTAAGATGATGATGAATGGCCATATTTTATATACACATATACTCAAAATAAATTAAAGAAATATTTCAAATTAGGCCGATGGCTCCTCTACAATGGTTGGAAGGCAGGTGACACCCATCTCACTAGGCTTGTCGAACATTTTAAGTGGAAACTTTGGTCTAGCAGGCGATGAAGTTGGTGAAGAATATGGAGATGATGAAAGGTGAACCAGCAGCTGCTTGCACTGGTGCACGTCAGATTCTTGTATCTGTGAGAGAGAGGAAATTTATGAGATTATGTATACCTGGGGAATGCATAGCTGCATTATCACCTGCAGTTGTACCAGGACTCAAGACCTATTTACACCTCTAAGCAATCATCCTCAAATTTCCTACCTACTGTCCAATGGTCATCCTAGAAATGGACTTCCCGCTAAGGCAGAATCAACATTTTCTTTGAAGTCTCAACATATCTGCCTTAGAGGAGAGAAACCAACAGTCTGCACATATTAAGCCAGATCTGTGAAAGTCCAGATACAGATAACCAACCACACACAAAAATACTTGTTAACTGTTTTCCTCCTTTGGGTTGCTACTTTAAGAACCATGACAACCCAGTGAGCTATCCTGGATGTCAATCCAACTGGAAGAATCCCAGACAAAATGTTCATCCTCCAATGAAGGTTATAAATCAGGCACTTGTGTAACACGGGAAAGGTCAGAGGTTAACAGGTACCATAAGTGCTAATTCCCCAGGGAAACTCTGACACTGAAGCGTGAGATAGGAGATGCCAGCCGCACTGAGATACGCACTGAAACCCTGACTGTCAAGTATAGAAAGACGGATTGCTTTAAGCATGACAATATGAGTTCTAAGAACAGGTGTTGCAATTAAGAAAGCATAAATCTTTCAGCTAGACAAGCAGCCGACAAGATAGATAGACAGGCTTTCAGAAGGACAGACATAACCAGAAATCAGGAGGATAAGACATGTCACGGGTACTCAAGGTAGTCAGTCCAGGCCGCCAAGCAAGATAACTGACGAGAGATTAGAAGGTAGCAGAGAACTGGAAGATGACCAGTGACAGGAATGACAAATAGGCCAGGGGAAAAGAACAAAGGATAAAGGAGAGGGCTGGAAAAGGGGAAGAGAAGGAGGGTCAGCTCTTAAGGAGTCATGTCTGAGGCATTGTAGCCGAGTGGCGTGGACAAAGGCTGGAACTTGGAAGAGAGAGTTGACTATATGGCTGAGAAGAAACTTGGTTAACAAAGAAAGATATTTTGACAGTACGTTTAGAAAATACTTTATTAATGGTTGATAATAGTGAATAACTTGAATGTGATTGCAATTAATTTTGAAGTATATGGATCATCATTGTGTTAAATGAACTTATCGTCATACATGAAAAGCCAGCAACAATATACTGAAGTGTTCATACTTTTGTTTCAAGGAAACATATTGGTCCTGCTTGAATTGATATTATATTGCTTTATAAACAAACTTATTTTAAATTGATTTGTTGGATCACTGGCTGTTTTGATGAACACAAGAAAGACACAAGAAAACTTTCTGATCACTTGTCCATTAGGCATGCTTAAAACTTGGGGAGCAAGAGATACAACTGTATCACACTTGTAACAGCTGCACCAGGTACTAGCTGGGCAAACTTTATTGTCCAAGGTAGGTGAGACATTTTTTTCCCCCTTATTTAATCTTGTTTATGTGTCTACTTTTTCTCCATCTAGGCTGCTACATGATAACCAACCACACTTCCAATATTAAGAGTTTCATTCTCAAACCAAAAAAGCAAATCAGGATACCCAATTCTGTGTAGTCCACACCTCAATTGTGGAAATATCTTCCACAAGTCAAATATACCACTAGTCCCTATACATATTATCAGAAACTGTTTGAATATTATCTGAGCATAGATTACATGTCCCCATAGAAGATGAAAAATATTTTAGAAATAGTGCACATTTTTCCAAGATTTATTACAACTACTATGGTTTACTGTAGTAAGAAATGTGCACATTCCAGTGCTTGTATTGAATATTTTTACGCTAGTGATAATGTTTACTATTACTTGATGTATATAAAAAAAAAGAGTATGAAAGGAGGGAGAACAGAAGGGCACATGGTAGGCAGGCCAGCATGCCCAATTCTTAACCTTTTGAAAAAAAAGTTTGTTCTTTTATTCTAAAAACGTTATTAATACAGTACACGTGACAAAGTTGTGTACCCTGTAGTGCCTTCTGTGCCAGGTATATACCCCCAGAGTTAACCACATATCCTTTACAAGACATGACACACCAATCATAACATTTGTTAGTTGGCTGTTTGTAGTTTTTCTAGGGCAATTTTACACTCAGAGGTTTGTTGATCACAACAGCTAGGTCTGGAGATCCATAAGGGAAACAACAAAGATAAAGAGAATAAATCAGGCGAAAAGTAATGTGTTTCTCTTAATGCTATTCCACTCCAAGATGTGGAGTGGTACACCTATTTGGGCAGTAATGTAGTTAAAGATAGGGGAACTGATGGTGATATTAAAAAATGAATACAAAAGACGAGCAGATTTAATGGCACGAGGAAATTTGTAAATTTTAAAAGAAATTAAAACTTGTACTTAACTTACAATTTTTAAATTCTAATGTCAAATCAGTACTGTTGTTTGGAGTTGAAACAGGAAGAAGAACTAAAACAATTACCATAAACTATAAACATTCATTAACTGGTGCCTGTGCAGAATACAGAGAATTAAATGGTATGATATGATCGTTAATCGCTGAGCTTTGGAAAAGAACTAAACAAGTTCCAGTGGACCAAGAGGAGAAGAAAAGAAGCTGGCATTGAATGGGACACAAATTGAGAAAATCTGAGAACAATATAAGTAGAATGTCTTTGCATTGGAACCCACAGGGGCAAAGAAATAAAGGCAGACCCCAAAAACAAAAACACGTGGAGAAGGGAGCTAGAGAGTGAAATTAAAAAGATGGGGGAGGACATGGGGTGAGCAGCATGCAACAGTGAAAGGATAAAACAACATGGAGTAAGTTGGCTAAAAGCCTATGGGGGATAAACACCAACGAAAAGAAGAAGTCGGTTTTGCTTATAGAATGGTTGGCTCTTCAAACTTAGATGAAATCAATGCAAAAAGCCTGCTGTCACATCCCCTGTGGTTAAATCAAACCTGGCTTTTGGAATTACGACCTGCATTAGCAGGCTCAAAGCTAAGTCTATATCCTAACTAGTAAAAATGTGGGCAAGAAACTGATAAAATACTCAAATACAATGCTGCAGTATACAAAAAGAATAAACAAAAGTTGACAGCTGTACTAACATTGCAGTGGACTAGAACTTGTGACTCTAGAGGACTGTGCACCTCAGGAGCAATCACGTGTTGTAGAAGTGCGTGAGCAAGGACACCAGGCTGTGGACACATTGAGGAATATAAATATAACTGGATGTTAGCAAAATGATCACATATAAATAAATGATTAAATCTTCTTCTTCGTTCTTTGCATTCACCAGCTGTAAACTCTGGTGGAAAGTTCTGGTTGTTCATCCACCTCTAGATTTTATCTTGTTCCAGAACCTGAGTGCTGTGTGCACTTCCATTTTACAGATCTGACTTATCTGTAGGCAGACTGCTTCCTCGCCTCCCAGGCAGATGCACTCTAATTTTGAAGGAAACTTCCCCCAGTTAGTTGAGTCCTCTGACATGCTTTTAGGGGAAACAATGAGTCTACTCTTGTGTGTTCCCCACAATAGGGCCCCAGAATCCACACAGGAAGAATGAATAAATCAAGGCATCCCTGCACATGGGACAGTCCCATAGATGCTGTGTCTCCTTGCTCAGTAGCCAACAGTCAACATGCTAACGGTACCAGTTGCAACCTGATTCAAAGTCCACCCCCTCAGTGCTGAATATCTTTCAGAACCTCTTCTCCCCCCCCCCCCCCCCCCCCCCTTCTCACTTATGGATTTTTCTGTCCGCTGGTCTATTGCAACTGTATTTCTATTTCCCTTCAATCCATCTCTGTTTCTATGCCTCTCTCCCTCTCCTCCTCTCTCGCTTCTCTTCTCATCCCCCCCCCCCCCCCGCCCCCACACTATGTTATCTCTGCAGAGAGCCTTCACCATGTCTGCTTTATCATATGTACAGTATAAACTTTCTATTCATTGCTTAATAAATTGGATGTTATCATGATAATTCTCCTTCTCTTCATTCATTTACTTCATTAAAATGTTGGAAGAAAGGAAGGAAGGAAGGACGGAAACAGGGGAAGGAAAAGGTGTAAGGCAACATCAGATCACTGATCTAGCTCACTAGCTCTGCACACATACACATTTCATTCACTGGACTAGTTCACTAGTACAACACACATAAAGATACTAGGTTGGCACTCACAAAGAGGGCAACAAAGAGGATGAGGAGGAAATGAAGAACTCAGCATGAGATCAACAGTCCATTCACTACTACTGCAGGTAAAAGTACTTAGTAGGCACTCACCTGCATGAGAACTGTGGACTGTTTGGACAAGCACCTCTCTGCCAGAGCCATAATTTTGTCGCTGTACACCAAGTTCACATTAACCCCATAGAGAACAGCAAACAACGGCAGGTAGTCCAAGTAGGAGACGGTTGTGACACACCAGCCTAGTTTACCCAGGATGTGCAGTTCCATGCGTTGCAAATCCTTGGCTGTCCATTCGTGGTGTCCTGCTAATTGCTTGGCACTTGGACATCCCTGTTACAATGAGCAATATGTGCAATGATTTAACTATGTGGACATCAAAAACATCAGTTACCGTTCAATAAACAGCAGAGAGTGACCAGGGGATCCAACCAACATTCTATACTCAGATGAAAGGCAAGAAGGACATATAATCAAATTCGTTACTGGTACCACTGGAATTGGAACTCATTACTGGCTGCCAAAGATGAGGACAGAGCACCGTGAATACCTCAAGTGTTGTGATGTCAATTTTTGTCACTCAGTTCAGCTACTCACTAGACCGAATCAGTTGTTATTATCATTATGTGCCATAAAAGATATAAACTCAGGCAGTCACATTTCAACAATGACTTCAGCTGTGATTTGAAGTAAACATGGAAGAGTGTGGTTTATTCAGTCATCAATATCAAATGGCATGGATGATCTTTTCTTCTTCTTGTTCTCTTGCAGTGACACACCATCATTATCTCAAGGTAACAGAATAACAGGGTGTTTTTTTAAACTCCATCTTCTGTTTCTTTCTTCATGTTTAAACAAATCTTTCACGATAGAAACTTGCTATAATCAATTTCACCTCTCTCTCGGGGAAAATGCTGGGCAAGTATTTCACCAGATGACAAAGGGCACCATCAGTATGGAGTATGGTGCTAATATAGGCTTGTCTGAAATTCTGTGATGTCGAATCTCTACCCAGATGACCCACATCTGGATTGCTACTTGAAGTTCTCTAACAACCCAAAAAAAACCATCTTGGATGCCAGTACAACCGGACAAATACTAGATACCCTATTCAGCCACCAAGGAAGTCCTGCAGTGAGGCACCATTATCATTGGTTGGATCCCCTGTATGGTTAATATAACTTTTGATTTTTCTGTCTTGTAAGTGCCCCCTTTTTTCTTCTGAATCTAATGGTGCCAATCATTACACCATGTGCTGTCTCCACAATGCAGGTTGCTTACAATGGGCTGTCTCTGAATATTATGCGAAAAGGTGTCGCTGCTGTATCATCACTGCTCAAAACCATGACAGCGTTTTTGTAAAATAAACTTCCCATTATGCAAATCAAATCAAAGTACTTGAGGATCAAACTGCCTCACATATTTCTATGGCCAAATATAATGTTGGGATAAAACACAAACGCTTCCATGTTTACTTCAAAACACAGCCAAAGTCATTGCTGAAATGTGACTGCCAATCATTACACCATGTGCTGTCTCCACAATGCAGGTTGCTTACAATGGGCTGTCTCTGAATATTATGCGAAAAGGTGTCGCTGCTTTATCATCACTGCTCAAAACCATGACAGCATTTTTGTAAAATAAACTTCCCATTATGCAAATCAAATCAAAGTACTTGAGGATCAAACTGCCTCACATATTTCTATGGCCAAATATAATGTTGGGATAAACCACAAACGCTTCCATGTTTACTTCAAAACACAGCCAAAGTCATTGCTGAAATGTGACTGCCTGTGCTTATCTAAATGGCACTTGATAATGATAGATTCTGTCTAGTCAGCAGCTGAAGTGAGTCAAGAATTGGCATCACAGCTCTCGAGACATTCACACATTAATCTTGTCTCTGGATAAGATCACAAATGAAGAACTGAAGAAGAAGACAAAATGTTCATCACCTGCACAACGTAATCATGGGAGGAAGATGGAGATAGTTTGGACATGTCTGCAGTATGCCTCTAGAAGGAGACGTGGATGACCGACCGAAAGAAACCTGGAGACGGACGGCAGAAAAGAAAATGAAGCAATGTAAAATTACGTGGGATACCATGGGCAGAAAAGCAGTTCTTTCTTCTTTCTTTGTCTTAGCGTTTACCGACTGTAAACTCTGGCACAAAGTTATGGTTGTTCCGTCAACATCCGGACTTTGGTCTTGTTTCAGACCTTGAGTTCTGCGTGCAAACCCGTTTTACAGATCTAGCTTAATTTTATGCAGAATGTTGGTTTCTCACCTTTCAATGAGCACTCAACAACAGCAGCAGATAGCAGCACACTTGCACCCCTTGAAATAACGGACTGTCAAGTCAGCTGTGGAATTCCCACAGGAATTTCCTGTTTGGGGTACGTTATAAATTAAGAACCATCACTTGTGAATTCCGAACGTGTCAACAGCGACATGATGTGGATATATATAGACAGTTGTCTCTAAAGCCCTGTATCCACCTACGTGCTAGTGGATCCCTGCCTTTTCTCACAAGAATCATGCTTTACATTATGGATTTACCTCCAAACTTGCTGGACACGTGCTGCTGTTTATGGGTCAGTTTCTTATATTTTCAGATATTTTTCAATGAGTTTAATTTTAATCAACCTGAAGCATTTGAGTTCAGATGTCTAAATTTTCGTCCTTTTGTTATATCAAGTTTGATAAACAGTCGCTGAATAAGATGAAGTGACAATAATTATGTAGTCATTACTATATTAAGTCGGCGTCTGTGGCTAAAGCGTTGCGACGTTATTCGTAATGCCATAGTGCAGTGTTTACACCCATGACACGCTCAGCCGTGTTTTCTCCCGGTGCGGCACTGTTTACGTTCCATTTTTTTTAACCAAGTTTTGTGACGCGAGACCCAGATTTTGATTTGGTGACCTAAAAATGATACCATCTCAAAATAATCGATACCTCTCTCTCTCTCTCTCTCTCTCTCTCCTCTCTCTCTCTCTCTCTCTCTCTCTCAGCGAAATACTGTCAAGGCGTTTGTAAACCCCCTCCCCAACTTCCGTTTTATTTTTTCCCACTATCACCAAGCGATAAGAAACTAGTAAGTTCGGGAAAAAATTGGGTAAAAACTCGTCTGCAGCTCGTGCCCCCAAATCACTTTCTCGGCTCATTCTTTGGTATGCAACATTTTGGGGGGTTTTTTTTTTAATCTGTTGCGTAACCAACCCTTTACCATTCAATTATACAGACAGCACTGCAATAACAATAATAGTTTTATGTTAGTAATATCAGTTCGAGGGGCGGAATTTAATTAAAAAAAATGGCTTCCCTAAAAGTCGGGAGAAGAGAAGAGAGGGGCATGCACAAAAGTCTCGGGGTTGGAAAATTTCGGTAAAAAGGGTGGGCGAGAAAGAAAAGAAGAGAAAGGAAGTGGTGGTCACGGTAGAAAGAAACACAATGTGTGGTGGGTAGAATGTAAAGCTACAGTTATTAATTAAGATGGGTTTGATAAACCCAAAAGAAAGAATGAAATATGGTGAAACATTTGGAGACCACCCCACCCCCCACACACACGCACGCAAACACATACACACACGGACGCGTGCGCGCGCACATACACACCCCACTCGTTAAGTTCTACCCCTCTAGATTTGCATTCTGCGGGATTAACATCTCACGGAAATCAATCAGCTATAAAACTCGATACTCGGGGTTTAAACCCCATATCTACAATAAAATACCCCCCCTTTCCCCATTTTCGCGTACGGGGACATGGGCTAACCTATAATTAAATTTAACAAATCGGCACTCAGTGGGTGATATGGTCAACATCACGTAGGCCGCATTTACTTCCCCGGGTTTTCCACACCCTTGTAAAACTGGGGCCTTGGGGGTCAAAGTCATTTCTGCAAAAAAAAAAAGAAAGAAAAAGAAAAAAAAAAAGAAAGACAGACAAAAGACGAAAGAAAGGCCTGCTCCCTCGGATCTGAACCCACAAAAAGCGCTAGCAGCTGGCCCAAAGGGGCCCCCTATAACATTATATAAGGGCACCCCAATCACGACAGCCTTATGTATCTAGTGTCGTGGGGGGTTTTTTGTTGAAAAAAAATGAAACACAAAAGAAATGCCTCTTCAACTCAGCATCTTGGGGAGCGTAAGTAACAGGCACGGAACGATGGGCTGTTCTCGGTAACCTGTGGGGGAGAGGCAACAACCTGTTTTACTGTCATAGTAGGCTTTTTTATCTTTTCTCTCCCCCTCTCTCTATTTTACTTTTGTACTTGTGTGAAAGTCCAAATGTTTTAAGGGGGGGGGAGGCAGAAAACGAGGGAGGGCGGGGGGGAAGGGGGGGAAAAATAGAGTAAGGGGATGTAAAAAAACGGTTTTCGAAAATGACAAAAGGGAAAAAAGAGGACGAGAAGGAAAAAGAAGAAAGGAGGAAGAAGGGAGACAAGAAAAGAAGAAAAGTTTGAAGAACTACGACCACAAGGGGAGAGTCAGAACCATGGGAAACCATTGTAGCACTTGGTTAAAGGCGACATCTGACTGACGTCACTGTGTTGACCCGATTCACGCCTATACTCGTTTCCTTTTATTACCCCAGTTTTCCTGTTTTATGACCCGTTTTTTCACATCTTTGTAAATATTAAAATAA